GGCCGCGGGGCGCCAGCCACCGAGCTGGAAAGCCCGAGGGACCTGCCGCGAGCCGGGGCCCCGCCAGCCCCGGCCCCCTGTAGCGATGTGGCCCCGGGCTAGGCAGGGGCCCAGAGGCGATCGCGTCTCTGCCCACTTTATAGTTGGGGACATTGAGGCCCAGGGATGTGAAGAATGCGCTCTGCGTCTTCCGTTTAAGGCAGTGCTCTTTAAACTGGGACTTAGGTCGTTTTAGGGCCAGCGGTGGGGTGGGGCAGTCAACTTTGTTATTTGTTCTGTAACGGAGTGATTAATTTCTATTTTGCAGGCTATAATACCTAAGGTCTCTGTTCCAGCTACTCAAATTCTATGAAAAGGGACCGTTTAAAAAAGAGAGGAGAGAGAGCTCACTTCCATCCCACCAGCCCTGACTCACAGTCACCCTATGGTGAGGGTAGAACTGCCCCTTACGGTTTCTGAGGCTGTAAATCTTTAAGGGAATGGATAGCCTCATTGCTCTCCCGCAGAGAGGCTGGTGGTCTCAAACCCCTGGCCTTGTGGTAAGCAGCCCACCGCTCAACCCACCAGCACGCTCCTGAAAAAGTGACCACCAACAATTCTTACAGACATGGTCCTGGCTGTGTTCCAACACAGAGGGATCTCCAGACGTTGAAATTTGAATTTCATTCCATTTTAGTATTCTTTTGATTCTCCTCCCTGCCCCACCCCCACCCCCGGACCCTTTAGAAATGGACCAACCACTCTTAGTTTGCACTGACCTAGACAGAAACAGGTCCCCCGTTTCTAGGGATTTTGTGACTGGATCGCTAAACTGAACTATTACTAAAAATTAAATTATATCAATTCACAGATTATATTTTTAAATTATTTTATTGGAGGCTCGTACAATTCTTATCACAGTCCATACATACATCCATTTTGTCAAGCACATATGTACCTTTGTTGCCCTCATCATTCTCAAAACATTTGCCTTCCACTTTAGCCCTTAATATCAGTTGCTCATTTTCCTCCTCCCTCCCCACTCCCCCATCCCTCATGAACCCTTCAGAATTCATAAATTATTATAGTTTTGTCATAAGTTACACTGCCCGACGTCTCCCTCCACCCTCTTCTCTGCTGTCCATCCCCCAGGGAGGAAGCTATACTTCGATTCTTGTAATTGGTTAGATTATATCTTTTAAAAGCTAAAAATGAATGCTCAACATGCATCATTACATTTTAAATGGCTCCGCTGCTGTTGAGGGTATTTCTGCAAAATATATCTGTGTAGTAGAATAATGCTCATCTGCGAAGCCCACCTTCAGAGGTATCATCACCTTGGTAGCTGGATATCAGCCGCAATGGGAGCATTTATACCACCGGAATTGGCAGTGCTACAAATTCCTTTTTCAAGGAATTGGCCCTCAGGAGCCAGCTCCTATTGTAAAAACAGAAAGTCAGAACAAAATCATTGCTACAGCCGGTCATATTCAGGCACTGCAATTCATCCAGCGAGATGTGAACTGATCAAAAAGGAAAACACTTGTGCCACCTCCTTAAGACAGGCATTTCCAACAAAATTTTTACTTGGTCGGTCTAGCAATTACTTCTCAAAGTTTGTGCAACTGG